GAATACAAGTCTAAAGAGGTTATAATTTCATTGTATAGGTCACTGGTTAAGCCACATTTGGAATATTGCGTTCAGTCTTGGGCTCCTTACCTTAGGAAAGACATTGAATTATTGAAAAGGGTTCAGAGAAGGGTTGCTAGAATGGTGCCTGGGATGGAGGGGTTGTCATACGAGGAGAGGCTGAAATCTCTCAAATTGTTTTCTTTTGAAAAAAGAAGAGTTAGGGAGATTAAGGTGTTTAAGATTGTAAAGGGAATTGATAGTGTTGATGCATTATATTCTTTTCATATTTAACAGTGAGAATAGTAAGACTAGGGGGCACAAATATAAATTTTGGAAGGGTAGGAGCTATCTTCAGCTAAGACAGCATTATTTTTATAACAGGGTGGTTGGCCTATGGAATGGGTTGCCTTCGGATATTGTAGAGGCAGTAAATTTAAGTGAGTTTAAGAAAAAGCTTGATAAGTATATGCATGATAAGAGCTGGCTTTAATATTTATTTTTTAATTATTTTAATTTAGTTTGGAGTATGAAACAGACGAGATGGACCAGTTATGTTATTCTTTTGAAGATTTATTCAAGTATATAACGGGAACGCCGAGACAAGCCCAGCTACTTGAAGTTAGTATTGCCTTTCCGGTATACTGAATAAAATTATTCCAAAAATTTTTATTAGCTACTTATAAATCAAACTAACTAACACCCTCTTTATTTTATATTATTTATATAATATATTTTCCTTAATCGGTAGTTTAGTTTCTAAAATATTTTTGTAGTTCTATTTAGTATATATTTGTAAGGGTGGAGATTGGGAGTTTAATTTAGTAGAAATGTTAGGGTGGTTTCATTTCTACTTCAAGAAATTTAAGGGTAACTGCCTTCCCACAACTGGCTATAGACAGTGAAAGGCAGTAGAAACTGAGAGGTGGGTGTAAGCACTCAGCTTCGTATCCTTATTTGATTTTCGTACATTTATTTGATTTTCCATGGAGGCTAACTAGATTAATGTCAGCGTTTAGGTTTTGTCTGATGGATGGGACATCTCCAATGCATTTGGGTGCTATTATCACAGACATTTTTCGCTATGACAATAAGTTGACAAAATGGATCGATAACATTAATGCGATATTTAATTCATTATTGTTTCATAGTGATGATTCAATCGCCTATTAACAATTAAGGTAATCAACAGTTTGAAAGCTATATATCTATTTACATACACACATATATATATTTACAGACTATGTCAAAGTGTTTGTTCCTTTTCGGTTGCTCCCAAGTGGCACAGTGGTATGTCTCCGGACTTACAACGCTAGAAACCGGGTTTCGATAACCGTCGCAGAGCACAGATAGCCCTTTGTGTAGCTTTGTGCTTAATAACAAACAAAAACTACTTTCACACATCTAATCAACCTATTAAGCTTATCTCATGCATCAATGTTTAATGATATTATGTACTTTAACTGACCTTGAACTGTTTATAGTCACAGATGTCTGTGTGTTCACGGATATAAATGTGTACACCACCCACACAAAAGATAAGGGTATAACCCCCCAAAAAAGGCATTAAAACAGTATAAAATACACTACAAACGTCTCAAGTTTAGTGGCAGAATAACTGTTTATACAAAATGCGAGTCAATAACATCCACATAAACTGAGGACAGGCCAGCCATTTGTGAGTAATGTGCAATTATAAAATTTAAAGATCCATTTGCAAATACTCATGCATTTCTCGTAGTGAAAGCCAATTGTTTGGACTTCAGATCCATAATGCTTGGGAACTCGTTTTACTGGTTGGATTTTAATTTGAGGCATTAGATCCTAAAACTCAACCAACAGACGAGATTTAAGTTTGATCACGGTACTCATTACAGATTGTAGAGTTTACTTAATGAAGTTAAACCCGACATCATTAAGCCATACCCCATCGCATACCTTTCCTATTAAAACCCATTAAACCGTTCACGATCCGTAATGTATTTATATATACATACATACATACATAGATAATCTTATATATATGCGACTTTAATTATGTATACTGCTTTGATCTGTGTGCACATGTATAGTAAGCATGAGTATATTTGTATGCAGTATTATCTATGTGAAGCGAGTTGATAAACATGATTGAAATGTTAAAGAATTGACTATATTTTCACTTATCTTCCATGAATACTTATCTTCAGTGTAGATAGAAAACTTATACTTCTACATTCTTAATAATAATAAAAAAAAATCAATACTTGGCACATATACTTAAACGAAGAAGTTGCCGAGTCAACCGTTGCCATTCCGCCGGCCCAAAACCGTTGCCATGGTAACTGTTACAGACTTTTTACCCAGATAAAATTGAGGTAACGCAAATATCAATTACTTTAAAACAGAAACCTTTTAGCGGCGATATACGCTAACATCTAGTATGTACGTCCGTTGGAAATTGTGACTTAAAGTATAAAAGCGCTTTGGTCCAACAGTAAATGCACTTAAAATGCATGAAAATTTTAAACAAAAATGGAACTCTATTTTAAGACGTAAGTTCGTGTTTATCGTGTCTTAGAATTTATTTTTATTTTATTTCAGTATTTTGTTTCAGCTGTTAAAGGTTCAAAAAATAGCATGACTAAATAAACTGGCCTTTCTTATTCTACGACTACACTAGCTGTACAATGCAAGTAAGTGAAATAAATATAAAGTTTATTTTTTCATGCACTTAAAGTGCATTCCTTGTTATTTTTAGGCTACACTCCAATAAAAACTTATAGATAAATCATTAGTGTTTAACGTTTCTATGGAGCAGAAGCTTTTCATAAGTATACCAATAATTATGCACTATACGATGAAAAGAAAAGGTACCGACTCACCTGTGAAACGCAAAAGCCTCTCAAAGCTATAACTATTTTAGTCGTTAGCTTGATGGTCTGTTCATCCAAAGGTCCTCGGTTCGTGTCCCGTTGCTGCGAAATCGCGCTCCGCACTTTGGGCCGTGGGTACGGTATAAGATTGACTGTCAAGTCCCATTATTCTATTAGAGTAGCCCAAGAGTTGGCTGGGGTTGCTGTTGACTAGTTGCATTATCTCTAGTCTATTAGTTTGTAAGTTATATGACCTGCTATGCGCATATAGCCCTTGTGTAGCTTTGTGGAATATCCAAAACAGGCAAAAGAAAATGTTCTAGGTAATGTCCTTTAATCAATCTTTTTTAAACTGTGTCTGGCCCCCCAGTGGCACAGCGGTATGTCTGCGGACTTACATCGCTAGAATCTGGGTTTTGATACCCGTGGTGGGCAGAGCACAGATAGCCCATTGTGTAGCTTTGTGCTTAATTACAAACAAACAAACAAACTGTATCTGAATATTTCATGTTGTATCGCAGACAACTAACTCAGTTTTTCTTATTTCTTTCTTTTTTCTACACCTAAAACAGATAGCAAACGAGGTATGTCGTTTACAGCATCTTTTAATCACGTTACAAATCAAATAAAAAAAAACACACACATATATATATGTTGTGTGTACGTGTATTTCTTGCGTGTCTCTAAATAAGTACAAGTAACATTTCGATGTATGGCATGCATTAGTTTAGCTAACACTACTTTTCTTTTTTAAACGATCCTTTTTTCAAAAACTATTTAACTTAGCGTCTTTTGTAAAAATTCCCTCATGTTTTTAAACAAACATGTATTTTCTTGTTTATGAACAGTTTGCTCAATCACCATTTAATAATCTGGTTAAGCATCAAGCCGAAACTGTGAATTAGAAAACAGATCTCGAATGACATCTTCATTGACGTAAAATTATGATATCCTATGACGGAGGAATGCTTGGAAAATGATAAAGACAAGTTGAATTTTTGGCTTTTTTTTTGGTATCAATAAAAATAGCCCCCCAGTGGCACAACGGTATGTCTCCCGACTTACAACGCTAGAATCCGGGTTTCGATACCCGTGGTGGGCAGAGCACAGATAGCCCATTGTGTAGCTTTGTGCTTAATTCCAAACAAACAATAAAAATAAATATAATCATAATATAGAGACAAAAAAATGTTTATCTGGTTTTTCAATTTTAGTAACAAACAATAAATAAGTCTTCGCAGTTCATGTGAAAAAAAAATCAATAATTCAATCACAGTTCGGTTGTTGGACTAACATTTCATATAAAAACTCTATTCAAAAATAATGTTTGAATTTATTTCTTAGGAATTCAAAACTTATTCAATTGATCCAGTTTGTTTGTTATGAATTTCCCGCAAAGCTACACGAGGGCTATCTGCGCTATCGTCCCTAATTTAGCAGTGTGAGACTAGAGGGAGGCAGCTAATCATCACCACCCACCGCCAACTTTTGGGCTACTCTCTTACCAACAAATAGTGGAATTGACTGTCACGGCTGATAGGGCAAGCATGTTTGATGTGACGGGGATTCGAACCCTCGACGCGAGTCGAGCGCCCTAACCACCTGGTCATGCCAATTTATCTAGAGTATGTATGATTTTCACAATAAATAAAATACTTAGCATCTTGTTTGTGATCTAACCGTTGGTGACACTAAAACTTTCAGATACTAAAAAGATGTTAAAAATAAACAAAAAATTTGTCTTAATAGTTTTTAATATGTTTTGCTAATGTTATTTATGTCAAAATACAATCATAAACACTACTTTTTTTCTTTCTTTACATTCACAATTATTCAAAGCATACTGAACATAGTTTTTGTAATTTATGGGTTCATTTCAATTTGTCCATCAGTGGATCAACAGTAGGTTTAAGAATTTATAACGCTAAAATCCAGAGTTCGATGCCCTTTGTTGGACAGAGCGCAGATAGCTTGTGTAGCTTTGCGCTTAAATGAACAGTCATTTCAATTTATCGAAAACAAATTGTATTTGTTCGCTGGAAATCCCGCATTGATGTTTTTTAACCTTTTGAGATTATACTGCTAAGCTGCCGGTAAGACACACCGGCCTACCTGGCAGGATAACCTCAAGGTTAGTGGCGTCAAGCCAGACTTTCAAGGTGACTCGTCACCAAAAGATTCAAACAACAAGGACAGAATATTGAAGCTGCGTGCGTTCTGCCAACCACCTAGTTCGGGATCACGTTGTACGTTTTTGTTTTTAATTAACAACAAATCGAAGTCTAGTAGCAACTGTAACATTAAAGAGTTACTTACCAAAATAATTATATGGGCTTAAATTATTCCGCGAAATAGTTAGATACAAGTTCGAAAAAAAAATCACGTTAATACAATGAATTTCAAATTTTAAGAAGCTATCAACCAGTATAAGGCCATTTGACTGTTGAAACGTCTCCAATGTTGTGAGGGAGCACTAATGTCGCAGCAATGCCTTACACGGTATATTATTAATTAATTGATGTCACATCAATGTCTTATACAGAATATTAGTAAGTAAGTAATGTTACAAAGATATCTTATATAGTATATTAGTAATTAATTAATGTCACAGCGATGTCGTATACAGGATATTAGTAAGTAATTAGCAGTAGTATTGTTGTAGTCTTATGAACACCTGAAGTACTGAATAACGAACGTTGGGAAAATACTTCAGATAGATTCGGAAACATCTAGTATTTCACCAACAGATTAAGAAATCCTAATAAC